GGGTGTCGTTGATGGTGTCGAGGGCGCCGTTGAGCGTCGCGCTGCAGTGTGTTTTCTAGTCGGACGCGCGGCTTGGAGTCCCGTCTGCTCCTTGCTTCCACTGCCATGTCGTTTGCCTTGCTATTCGCATCGGTTCGCTTCCTGGTCGTTGTTGTCCCTTCTTTCGTCGATGCGTGCCCTTTTTGTCGCAGGTGGTCCGCTGATCCTTGTGGTCGATGCTTCGGGCTATGCGCTGGAAGCTTCTCCTGATTGGACTGCTGAGGTAGTGCTGTCGTAAATCTGGTAATGCTCTGGATCGTGCACGTCTGAGTCAAGGTCCTCTTCGGTTTTCTCTCCTCTCCTGCTCCTCCTCCTCCTCCTCCTCCTCCTCCTCCTCCTCCTCCTCCTCCTCGTTACAGGGCGTCCTGGCCCGTCGTGTGTCCGACGCACATGGCACCGCGAAAGCGGCCAGGAGCGGCAATGCCACGCCGTTTTCATTCACTTATACTCCGGCCTGGGTCAGGGGCGGCGGCTCGCAGGTCCGGAGTTGTACAGCATCATGGCGCCGCTCTCCAGGATATCCCCCTCGAAAAAAAACTCCTCCATGACCTCATCGTCCTCCTTGGTGTTCGTGATGCCCGCCACCGGTACTGGTTTGGGTTGGTGCCCTTGTTGGAGGCGTTCGGCGTCGCTCATCTCCTGAAGCAGACATGCTTCGATGTATCGGACCACCAGTATGACGGCGCGTGGTCCCACTTCCTTGGCGATGGTTTAACATGCTCCCTTGGTGTCGGCGTTGGCGGTGGTTGGCCTTGCAATTCATCATCTGGAAGCCCTTTGTCCGCTCAATGTATGCGGCAATGCGAAAACCGCACCTCCTGAGTAGGCGGCACCTGCGTTGGGGATGCCTTCTCGTATGCGTCTTCCAGGCGCCGTTGTCGCACTTCTTCTTCCCATCCCTTCTCTCGCTCATGTTTTCAGGATTCCTGGTGCTGGTTGAAGGCCTGGTCGATTTCCATGAGAGTGCCTGCGGAAACTGGGGACCATTTGAGTTTGTCGTCGCTGCGGGGGCTTACTGGTTGCTGTACTTGTTGCTTCCGATGCATCGCTTACTGCTGCTCCAAGTGGTATTCCGGCTGCAGGTACTTCACCTGGTGCTAGTGGCCTGATTGTGGTGGCCAATGGCTTGAGCTGCTGCGTACTGTGCTTGCTGTTTGTATTCCTCCGCTGCCTGTCGGTATTGCGCTGCTTCTCGTTGCCCTCGATGCCGCTCCTGGCCGAGCGCCTTCTCGCGCATCAGCATGTATGTGTTCTCCTCGTACCTGCAGTGCCCAAGCATATATAGCCGGTTTTCGATAGCGATGTCCTCCAGTCGTTCTTTTTCGTGTTCGAGCTGCTGATTCGTGGCCATCTTGTCAGACATCTGCTGCTCGTGTCTCTCTTGCTGCTGGCGAACTTCTTAATGGGTCCTCTACCGAGCTTGTGGCGCCTCATGGGCTTCTTGTCGGGCATGTGTCATTTGCTGTTGCAGATGCTCGGCATGTCTTTCTACCTGCTTCCGTATGGCGACTTCTCGTTCAGCTGGCTTCCGAATGTGTCCCTTTAGCTCGGTGTCCAGAGTGCGGTCCTGAGGGCTTGCATTTCTTCGTTTGCATGCTGTCGTAGTCGTGCTGCTTGAAGTGCTGCTGCATCTTGTACTTCGTTTATCTTTGCCTTGTCGGCGATCCTGGCATTCTGAATGTTCTACTGGTCCCTGGTCCTCTGGTTGGCGTACTGGCTTTCCAGCTCCTTCTCCATTTCCCTGGGCCGTCCTTTTGCCTGCTCCGCTTCGTTGCTCTTGATCCTGCTCCTCCTACTGCCTTCACGGTGCTCTGCTTGGTCTTTGTTATTATGAAAGTTTTCCATCGTCGCCATTTGCTTCTGCATATGTTCGTTCGTCTCGCTCATGGCCTGGAGTGCGTGGCTTGTTCTACTGCGGGTGGTCCCTCCAATGATCTGGCCCTTGACGAGTGCCTGGAATATGGTTTGGAAGTGGGTCTGCAGGGCTTTCTGGAGGGGGTGTGCAAATGCAGGTCCTGGTCCTCGTCGCCCTCCTCGTTCTGGTCCTCGTCTTCGATCCTCTTCTGTACTGGGCTATCTGGAGTTTGAACGTGAGGTACTGCTTCTGGTTCTTCCCCTGCTGGTCGTTGAGGGCCTCGATCTGCTTTTCGATATTTTGGATCTTGATGTCCATCTGTTCTTTTTTGTGCCTCAGCTCCTTGATCTGGTCATGGTTGCTCTTCGTCTGGAGCAGCACGAGCTTGATCTTGGCGATGTCTTCCTCAGTGGTGGTTGTCTCCGCGCACGCCTCCGTTGCCGCGGTGATAAGCTGGGCGTACCTGTCCAGCTTGTCGTAACATTTTTGGTTGATCTTCTTTGTTCGGCCGCGAGCGAGGGGGGGGAGTGAGAAGGGGCGGTGAGAAATTTCCTAAACCTTCCCTGAAAACCCAGGCTTGCTCCTCGCTCGCCGCCGATGTGTGTTGGCCCTCTCTTTGGGGGTTGGACGATTGTGGACCTGGTCTTTGCTTTCATGTACTCGCTGTCGTCCTTCTGCCTCCAAGGCCAGGTTGCCAACTCCTGCTGGGGCGGTGCTGGCTGGGTAGCGCCATGTCGTCGTCGTCGAAACTGGTCCCGCCCTTGCTGTTGATGATGTTGCTGCGCGTGATGCGGCTGCCTCTGCCAGCTGCTTCCGCACCTGCATGACCAAATCTTGTTTGGCACTTCTTTTCCACATCGTGTGCAGCTCCATGTGTCCTCCTCCTCGTTCATCTGCCCGGCCCACTCATCCACGACTCGCCTCGGGCACATGTCGTGGAGCTGCTGGGCGCCGTGGTGGTTGTCCAGGAGCCTCCTCGCGCTGGCGACGCTGAGGAGGCTCCGTGCCTGCGCTCTCGCTGGGCGCTCCCGCCTGTGCCAGGCGGGCTCGTGCAGCTGCGTGGCCGTTGGCGGTGGCTTGCGGCTGGCCGCGGCCAAGGCGCGGGCCGCGGCCTGCGCGCGAGGCCAGGCTGCCCGGGCGTGATCTCGTGAAGTCTCGGGGCTGGGAGCCCCGCCCAGGTTCATGCCGAAACGGCCCTGCGGCAGGGCAGGGGCAGGGGCAGGGGAAGGGAGGGGAAGGCAGAGGGGGCGGAGGTGCAGAGAGGGCAGGCGGGCGGGCAGGGGGGGGGGGGGCAGGGGGTGGCCCACTGGCAGGATAGCGAGAGGGCTGGGCAGATGGTTCGCTCCACTTCTTGTTCGTTTCCTGGCTTGCCTCCTTGGCAGGAGGGGGAAGGTGTGGGGGGGGAAGCAGGAAAAGGAGCAGGATGACGGAGAAGGCGCACGAGGACGAGCAGCAATAGGACGCGGGACAAGGGGAAGCCGGAGTGAGGAGACGAGAAGGGAGAGGAGAGGAGGATGGAGGAGGGATTGATGAGCCAGAGCGGGCGCAGGAGGAACAGGAGTTTGATTCAACGGGCCGTGCTCTTTCAAGGCGGGGTGGCCGCAAACCACTTGCCCCCCAAAAATCAGGCGAGCCTGGCGCGGGCTCGGGAGAGCAGAGCAGCGACGGCGGGGCCTCGCCCCACGGCGACAACCGAGTCCGCCTGTCATGGGCAGTATCCGTGTGGACCTCCACAGGTCCACAGGGCTACAGCGCGAGGGGCGACACTGAGACCAGCAGCTCCTGGGCAATCATCCCGACAAGCCCGATATCCCGAGACGTCTGGACAGTCTGGCAGGGACCGCAGCAGCCCCGCGACGGCACGGGCGCGGTGCGGGGCTGGGTCCAGGAAGGTGCCACTGGTCATGTCCCAAAGCCAGAAAAACTGGAGCTCCCAATCGGTGCTTGCACTACAGGGGTCCCGGCGGATCTTGAATGCGTTAGACGGCCAGGCTGCCGAGTTCCCGAGTGGGTTCCTGCGGACGGGGCTAGGACGAGGATAAATCCGTTCCAGAGTGTTCCAGAACGCTCTGAGCCCCAGACGTCCCTCAGAGCCGCTGGCTCTCAGAGATTCTCGGTCTGTCCTCACCCCATCTTATCCTCGTCCTGGCTTCGTCTCATTCTTGGGTTCTGGGCTGCTGGGTCCTCAGTTCCTGGGTCCTCGAGCTCGTGGTACTTCTCTGGCGGGGCTAGGACGAGGATGCGACCGCTCCAGAGCGTTTCGGAACGCTCACAGAGCCGCTGGATCTCAGAGATTCTTAATTTCTTCTCATCGTCTCATGTTCCTCTGGGTGCCGACGGCCTCGAGCTGCCCGCGCCCCAGCTAAGGCCGCGGAGCTGCACCGGCTGCTGTCCGAAGGCGCCGTGCGGCGCCCCCCGCAGCGAGGGGGGGGGGGGCGGGCCTCCCTCTTGCGGGCCCGGGGGCTTCGAGGCTCTCAGACGTCTTCGCAGGCTCTAGGATGCGCCTCTCCATCCTCCATCCTCCTCCTACTCCTCCTCCTCCTCCTCCCTCCTCCCTCCTCCCTCCTCCCTCCTCCCTCCTCCTATGAACTTGTCAGAGCTCACGAAGTCTTTGACGGCAATGAATACAACACTGGTTATGAAAGAGAATCTCATTCTCACAGCGCGCTCGGTCTGACTCAAGGGCCCTGCCCCAATCCAGGGCCAAAACGGTTGCGGGCTCGTGCTATACAACACACACGCACGAGCATGCACACTAGATGTACAGCGTATATCTCACACCCGTGAAAGAGTGAACACACATGAAACAGAGAGAATCCTTCCTTCAATCTGAAATATAACACATCCGGGTAAAGATACCTAATATTGCATGAACGAATAAGACATGAATAAACTGCATTATAATGCGTGAGGAAGTGTAACTAACTCAACGCTACAAGAAACAATACCGAAATATCGCGCTGCCTGTAGATCAATCTCTAAAACTACAGTCATAAACTCTCGGGCGGCATGCAAATCAAAACCGCAACGAAGAAATAATACATATTAGCTGTGAGCCTCACTTGTGAGCTCGAAATCCTTCCGTCAACTCTGGCTCGGTCGTCACCTCGCCCGCTCTGCGAACGCCCTGCGTCTGATGCTGAAACCTCCAGACGTCTCCGCTGAGCTTGTATGTCGTCATACTCTGCACTCCCACCGTCCTGGCCGCGTACAGATCGTTCGACGAGCCGCCGCGCTCGTCTCTTGGTGCTTCCTTCGGCTCGCTCTCCTTCTCGATCCGCTCCTTCTCGGCCTTCGCCCGTAGAACCGCCAGCTCCGTCTTGTATTTGTACTCAGCCTCCTTTATCTTGATCAGGTAGGATGCAACAGGGTAGGCTCCACATAACCCAAGAAGTAGGAAAAACATTGCAAACCAGATCGCAATACCGTGGCCGTCGTTCTCGTCCTTCATGTCGTAGCCTGAACGGGCCGCCGATCTGCAACAGCAAGTTGCGAACACTGCCAACTGCATGAATGGTGTCGTCGCCTTCCGCGTCACCGCCGATGTCACCGGCCTCGTCTGATCTATGCTCTCCTGTCGCTCTTCCTTGGTCTTCTTCTTCGCCGCCGTGTAATTCGGGTCGTGCTTGAGCTGTAGCCTCCCATATCGCAGACGGTCGGCGAGGAGCTGTCTCGCCGCGATCTTCGTGAGCCCGTCCGCGTACTGCCTCTCTGAAGATACCCACCTCCAGCGTGTCATTGTAGCCTCCATCCTCTCACGCAGCGCTAGCACCTCGATGCCGGTCCGCTTGTCCTGGAAGCTAGTGATGCTCTCCTTCTGGGCCGCGTCGTAGAGCGCCTTTGCGTCCACAACTAATGCCGACTCACCCGCCATGTGAGTGCTTTCGTCCTTCGTGGTGTCCACGCCGTCGTAGATCATGGCTGCCCAGAATCGCTTCGCAAACTCCAAGCCATCCATGCCCGCTGCTGCTGCCTGTGACTCCGCATGTAGGGAGGAACGTGCCATGCGCAGTAGCTTGAAAGATTTCTTGTCGATCACGCTGAAGTCGGACTCGTGTCCGTCGAATATCTTCTTTTGGCATGCCAAGATGACGTAGCCACCTTGACTGGACCCGTCTTGTCGAACTCCCCAGGCTGCGTCCGTCATTGCTACGAACACTATGTCGCACGCCTGGCCGATCTTCTTCATCTTGACCCCGACGTCCGAGTTCTGCTTGTAGAACCGCAGCGTCTTGTTCGCCTCCTTGGCCGTGCCAACCGTTGCCGTAGGTAGTTGGCTTTGGTGAATGCTGACCGAAGCCGAAAGGTGCGGGCACGCCTGAGAGCTTGGGCAATGCAACGCTCCGAGTAGGCCTCGTAGCTGCCGCTTCTCCTTGATAGTGAGCTCCCTCGTGTTGTCACTGCTCTTCTGGTCGATTGTGATGGGCTTCAGGTTCTTCGCGTAGGTCGCCATCTTCACCTCAATCTCGCTGCTGTTCGACTTCGGGTTATCCCAGTGCGGGGTCTGCGTCACGTCGCTGCCGCAGTAGTCCATCTTGTCGTCTTCGATCCATTTCCTGAATTTGAACTTCCGCTTCACCTCGGTGATAGCCCGACTGTAGTTACTGCCCGGCCGCCGATCTCCACCTCCCAGCATATCGTCCACGTAAAGTAGAATGAACCCGTCACAGTTGCCGTCCTCATCGAAGCTGAGGAACATGCAGGGGTCCAGGGGATGCTGCTTGAGACCGCTGGCCCTCAGGTCGTCTACCGCGCGTAGCCACCAACGCCTTGGTGCGTCCACCTGGCCGTACATTGGCTTAATGAACTTCATAAGAGTATCCGGCTCGATACCCATGAGCTCTGCCGCATCTTTGGGCACCTTCGCGTATAGCTCACGCTCTTGGGGTCGTCCTTGAAGAAATGCAGTAGCTACGTCTGCTGTCCACAGCCTCCAGCCGTTATTAGCCGCCAGTAGTAGTGCCATCTGTCTTGCCAGTCTCGATGCTGTAGGCGATGCCGTCGGTAGTGCTCCGCTGAGTGCGTCGGGGTCGTTGGAACCTTGCAGTGCCAGCCGCGCCTTGGCACGTGGTGTGCCTTCTTCGTCCACTTGAGCACCCACTTCGCCTTGAGTATCCACCGAGGGTCCTCCTCGCCGGTGGGCTTGTGAAACTCCCAGACGTCATTGTCGAAGAACTCCGTCAGCTCCTTCCGCTTGCCCTGCATGAACGCCGCGCGCTCGTGGGGCGTCATGTTCCTCGTGCTGATGTCCACGAAGATGTCGCTGAGCTTCGCCTCCGTGCCGTCGAACTCCCAGCCGAATGGCAAATCCTGACTGGTGACCATCAGCTGTAGAGCTGCGAGTTCGTCGTCAGCATCGTCGAGGTCCGGTACTGGTACCGCGCTGCTCAGTCCAGGGTCGGGTAGAGTGCCTCTGAAGACTCCTCCTCCAGGTCTGGTGAAAATCGCCGCCTCTGCTTTGTCCATCCTGAGCCGGTCTTTCTGAAGATTCGAGATAAACCTCGACTGCGTCTGTGTCGATCCGAGCTCCTGCTCCGATGATGGTGCTGCCGCCGCTGATGACGATGATGCTGCTGGCTGCGCTGTCTGCGTTGGCTGTGCTGTCGGTAGAGCTGCTGGCTGCTCCGGCTCTGGTGGGGGCGTCGTCGGCATTGGCTCCTGGTCTGGCTGACCAGAGTTCGACGTCTGTCGACTGCCGTCGGGTACTGGCGCCTCCGCGTCTGGACGATCCTCCGCTGGAGCTGCCGCGGCTGGTGGCACCTCTGGTGTTGCTGAAGCTGCTGCCGCCGCTGGCCCGGATGACGATGCCTCTGTTGGTGCCTCCACCACTGGGGCCGTCCTAGGATCAGGACCGTCTCCTCGACGTCGCTTAGATGCTGGACCTTCGTCTCCGTCTCCGTCCTCCGCGTCGTCGTCGACGTCCATGTCCGAGTCGTCCGGTGCGTCGAACGGGGGTTGTTGTGAGCTAATGTCGTGGTACTGCGTCACGCCCGTCCTCCGCATGCTGCCCAGTGCATCCTTGGCCTGGGTCAGGTTCTCGAGTAGACCGCGCCCTTGATCACTCACGTCTGGCCGAACGTGTTTGGGTGCACACCGTAGTAGCTGCGTGCCGTGAACGATCCAGTAGATGCGTGGTCCACTCGTCCTGGCGCATCTCCTTGAACACCACGACTGCGGGGCCCTTCCACTTGTTCTTGATAAGCTTGTTGGTCTTGCCCTCGCGCCAGTAGTAACACCGCTGGCCGATGGAAAGGTCGTGCTTGAGCGCCACATGTCGCCGTAGGAGTGCGCGTCGTAGTTTGGCTGAAGCGTCCGCCTTCATGAAAGCTAACGCCGCCATAGACCTCCTCTCCAGCACGTCCTTGAAGTCCTCGCCCCCCTTCATCTGGTACAGGGTCGCTGGTGAGAACTCGTCGCTGGAGTTGGTCATCGTCGTAGTGGGGTCCATGCCCAGAACCCACTGGCATGGTGAGTACCCTTTCGTGAGCGCCAGTCGGTTGACCTGGTGGGGCACGCAGATGCACGCCTCGGTGATCAGCTTCTCGTCGAGCACCGTGTTGGCCGTGCGCCCAATCGCGTCCTGGCAGTAAAGCTCGATCGCCTCTCGAACCACCTGATGGCGTCGCTCCACCACTCCGAGACTCGAGTGAGCCTCGCCTGCTGCGATCACGATACTGATACTGTGCTGCTCCAGAAACTGCGTGAACTTGTCCGACGCGAAGCCTGAGCCGTCGTCGGTACGTAGCTCACCCATGGGACCGAACTGCCTGATCCAGCCGCGCTCGACCGCCTTGATCAGTTCGTCGCCGCCTCCGTCTTGATCGTCCGTAGGGCACAGTACCTGGTAGCACCGTCCACCATCGACAAGATTGCCGTCTTGCCTGTCGCGATCTTGACCCAGAACACGTCGGTGTAGACGGTCTCGTTGAACTTCGTCGGCTGCTTGGATGACGCTGTGGGCGCCTTAGGCGGGCGCTGCCGCTGCATGCAGTGCTCGCAGCGATGCTCAGCCGCGCAGTTGAGCACGTTCTCCTGAGCTCCCGCTTGCTGTAGTAACCGATGTAGTACCGTCGGGTTGGGGTGTCCCATGTTCCGGTGTAGCCGCTTGACGTAGCGCAACGCCTCGGTGCCGTGCTTCTCGCGTAACTGCGAGTGCACGTGGATAACCTTTTTTTTGCTGTCTCGTCCGTCGAGGTGGGGTTGCTGCCGCTGCTGACGTCCTCGCCGCTATAGATCTCCTCCACCTCGGCCTCCACCATGACTTGTGCCAGGGTGGCTGCCAAGATGAACGGGTAGTCCTCCGTGACCTTCGTGCGCTTGACGCCGCTGCCGTCCACGTTGCCCTCCAGTACTGCGTGCTGGTGGCACCTGTCGCATCGCGTGCTCATGATAGCCGCCATGAGCTTCTTGGTGGTCCTGATGCTGGTTGGCTTCTTGACCGGCTGATCGTCGCTCCCTGGTAGGGCGAGGCCGTACATGCGCTGGTCGAAGGTCGCCATGTAGCCCGGTAGGTTGGACCAGGCTTTTGTCTGCCAGGCCCTCGATGTGGTTGGATGCTCCACGCGAGCATGACGTCCGCCCTCATGCTGGATGTGGTAGACGTCCGCCACAAACTGCAGGTGCGTCCTGTGATGCCAGTCGCGTAGCTCGATAAGGTATTCCTTCCAACCTGGATGTTGCTGTACGTTCAGCTCCTGCATGTTGGACCAGGGTCCGCACATCGGGGAGAGATGAACTTCGTCTGGCTGTTCTTCGCGTAGCTTGCGCTTGAACCGCTCTCGGTGTTCGACCTTCGCGAAGTCCCAGCCCGTGTGTAGTCCGAACGTCTCGACGTCCGCTCCGAGGTCGCGTAGACTCTGAGATAACCGCGCCTCGCCCGCATAGACCTCCCAGACCTTCCGTCGCGTAGTGCAGCGCTTTGCCGCTGCCCGCCGCATCGTCTGCATGTACTGGTCGCTCGCGTGCTTGATCGCCGAGTCGATCTTATGAATGAAGTTGGTCGTGACCTGCCTCTTGTCGCCGTCGTCGCTTCTGTGCGTGTCCTGCTCGGTGAGCTGCGTCGCGTCGCTGTAGGCGTCCGCCAGGCACCAGCATGGCTCTGGCAGGTCCGGGTCGACTGGCTGGATCGGCGTTGTTGCGAAGCAAAGGTTGCCGCAGGAAACATGGTTTTGGCACCGATACTGCTTCATGTACTCGCCGCAGCAGTTGACCTTCGAGACTCGTTGCGGGCATCCTTCTGAGTGCGCCCGCTGCGGTGCAACCTCATACTGCTCCCCGTGATCGCTGCTGCTGTTGTCGACCTTGTAGATTTCGTCCAGAAGCTCCAGGCCGCTGATGGTCCTGTCGCCGTCCGTGAACTCCCTGAAGTCGACCGCTTCGTACTCGAAGTCGAGCTTCGGGTCCTTCGTCTGGTCGTCAATGTCCTCGAGCAGGTCCACCATGTAGTGGCCTTGCGGAGACGTGCGCGCCTCCTCGTAGCTTCCGCCGTTCCACGCCAGCTGCTGATTCGCGAAGTCGACCTGCGCCGCGAACTTCTCCAGTAGGGGCCGTGGGAAGAGTATTGGCGTCTTCCCTGGAACGAGATAAATGTACAGGGTCCCCGTCTTGCTCTTGAAGCTCGCTGGAATGATGCCGCACCACAGCGCGTGCTCCACCTTGCCGTTGCCGAATCGGAATGGCCTCCGACACGTGTGAAACTCCAGCTTCTCAATCGGGTAACCCCTGACGTGGCATGTTGTCAGGTATGCCTTGATGGTCTCCGAACCTGACATAAGCGTAGTCGCGCCGCCGTCCAGGATGGCAAACTGTGCGGGGATGATGCTGGCCGTCTTGCGGTTGTCCCAGTAGACTCCGTCAACCATCATCTGGTGATCCATCTGTCCGTGGGGCCGCTTCTGAGGTGGCTCCGGGCAGTCCTTGGGCGATGTGGTGCCGAGTGTGGTGAGCCCTTCCGTCCTGGGCTGCCCTTTCGACCAGCACCTCGAGAGCGTCCGCGTCCTTTGGCTCCGCCCTTACTGGGAGGGTGCCTCGGTGCTGCTGATGCTGATGATCCCGTCGCGCCTGGTACCATCGCCTCTACCGAGTAGTGGCCTCGTGCAAGCTTCAAGTCGTTGAAGCGCTTGCGCGCGTCGTGGTAGGCCGCGTAGACTTCGTCGTACTCCGACACGTCGAAGTCCTGCATCGGCGCCGTGTCCCGCTGATAGTAGGCCTCCTCGCAGTTGTAACAGCTCTCGTCGCCGTCCTCGGCCCAGTACTCCTGCTCGTAGCCGTCGTCGAACTCTAGTTCGTCGTCTTGGCCATCGTATGCATCTTCTTCGTAGTACTCTCCTATCTCGTCGTCCACGTGGTACTGCTTCTGTGCATGCTTAGGCTCGTATACTGTGCTCTCCTGTCCGAATGTCGTCTCCAGCGCCTCGATCACTTTGTCCTGTGTAATATCCTTGCCCACGATGGACATGATGACTGCCTTCTGGTCTGAACTGTAGCCGCCTCGTCGTAGGATCAGCCATCCACGAACCTTAGATGGCAACTCGATGTCGTGTGTCTTGAGCTTCCGCTCTGCTGCTCGAACTCTTGAGATGTAGCCGAACAGCGTCTCTCCTCGATTGCGTCGTAACCTGTAGAAATACACCTCAAAGTCATCTGCCAGCTCCGTCCGTGTGTCCGTCTTGAATCGCTTCCGTAAGCGTGCGAGCAGCGCTGTAGCCGCGCCAGGCTTGATCAGGTCGTCCGCCGTGAAGTCCTCGACTTCGTCCCAGGTTTCACCCGTCAGCCCGGCCGATAACATGAGAGCTGCCTCGCCCTCTTTCTTCTCCAAGGTAAGCTTCGCTGTGAACATAGTCGCCCGCTTCTCGTACTTTTTCCACCTCGACAGTGTGCCATCGACTTGTGAAACTCCACGTTCTGGTAGAATCGCTTGCTGGTCATCCGCTCCTCTGCCGCCTGCTTTCGCCATGATGATAAATAGCCTTTGCTGCGTAGAAGTCGCCTTCGCTGTCGCTGTGGTTGTCACTCTGGACCTCGCTGGAGGTCGATTCTGAGTCGTAGCTGGGCTTGAAGCTGCTTGCTATGGAGTAGTGGCCGTCGAACTCGAGCGGTAGGCCGTCGAACTCGAGCGGTCCACCAGATATGGAGGGCGCGGACGAACCTGCCGAGAGATCGACAGGCTCCGCTACCAATATGAACTTATCAAAGCACACGAAGTCTTGGACGGCAATGAATACAACACTGATTATGAAAGAGAATTTCATTATCACAGCGCGTTCGGTCTGACTCAAGGGCCCTGCCGCAATCCAGGGCCAAAACGGTTGCGGGCTCGTGCTATACAACACACACGCACGAGCATGCACACTAGATGTACAGTGTATATCTCACACCTCCCTCCTCCCTCCTCCCTCTTCCCTCCTCCCTCCTCCCTCCTCCCTCCTCCCTCCTCCCTCTTCCCTGCCTCCCTGCCTCCCTGCCTCCCTGCCTCCCTCCCTCCCTCCCTCCGTCCCTCCTCCTCCTCCTCCTCCTCCTCCTCCTCTCCCTCCTCCCTCCTCCTCCTCCCTCCTCCTCCCCTCCTCCCTCCTCCTCCCTCCTCCTCCTCCCTCCCTCCTCCCTCCCCCTCCTCCCTCCTCCCTCCTCCCTCCTTCCTCCTCCCCTCCCTCCTCCCTGCCTCCCTCCCTCCTCCCTCCCTCCCTCCTCCCTCCATCCCTCCTCCTCCTCCTCCCTCCTCCTCCTCCTTCTCCTCCTCCTCCTCCTCGCCTCCTCCCTTCTCCCTCCTTCCTCCCTTCTCCCTCCTCCCTCCTCCCTCCTCCTCCTCCCTCCCTCCTCCCTCCTCCTCTTCCTCCATCTTCCCTCCTCCCTCCTCTCTTCTCCTCTTCTCCCTCCTCCCTCCTCCCTCCCCCCCTCCTCCCTCCCTTTCTCCTCCTCCTCCTCCTCCTCCTCCTCCTCCTCCTTCTCCTGCTCCCTCCTCTTCCTCCTCCTGCTATTTCGCATCTCGAAGGTGCCAATTCCAATTCCTCCTCCTGCTCCTTCTCCTCCCCTTCGCTCGACTACACGTGAGGGTGACCCTTCGCCAGAGTGATCTTTGGTGCGGGCCCAATAGGCCCCCCGATGGCCGAATGCACTGCGATAGTTAGCAGCGGCTTGCGCGCCTGGTGGTGTCCTCCAAAGGCCCCCCCCCCTTGGCCGCGCACTACAGGTCACTCTTTCCCAGTGCTACGCTTGCGTGAGGCCGAGGCCCTCGCAGGCTCCAGGAGGCTTCCCGCCCCGGGAGGCTCTGCGGCAGGCGCGCCTCGCCGAGGGCGCTCGGGGGTGCCCAGATTTTGCCCCGAAGGGCCACGGGGGATCAGAGTTGTGATTCGACCCCCCGTGGAGGGTGGCTGTCTCTGATTGTGCGATGCGCCTGACCATCCTCCTCCTCCTCCTCCGCCGACGACGCCGCCGCCGCCGACGCCGTCGACGACGACGACGCCCGCGACGACGAGCTGCTCCTCCTCCTCCTCATCCTTTTCTGATCCTCCTCCTGGGCAAGTTGGCTCAGCGGATCAAGGCATCATATTGGTTTCCGGGATGGAGGGATCAGTGCACAGCTCAGCAACAGCAGACACCCTTGCGCAGCAAGCACAGCCAGCAAGCGTTCATGGGCGGCGGTTCCTAGCGCCTGCCCGATCCAGAAACCGAAGGGTGACCCCCACGTGCTGCCCATCATGTCGGAGGGGGACAAGGTACCGATACTGCTACCCTTGGCCCGTTTTTTGTGTTTCTCCATTTTTGGGCCTCCTTGGAGCTTGTCGTCGCCACGGCCAGAATCGCCTCGACATCCTGGTCAGAGCGCGCGCCGGGAGAGGGCCAGGGAGCAGCGGTATCAGTACCCTTTGGCTTCCCCACGCTTGACTGGGATCAGCCCAAAGCCTGCGGGTTCCAGGGACGATCCAGGGGATCTTTGGCCAGTGGCATTCTGGCGGAGCCTAGTCGCGACCTCCCCACCCCCAAGGGCCGCCAGGACCGCCCCCTGAGCCAGGGGTCGACCTAAACGGTGCTCTGGTGGGCCGTCTTCGTTTCGATCTCGTCTTCCAGCAGAGGCGGAGCGAAAACAGGGGAACACGAAAACATAACGAACATGGGGAACACCGTTCAGGCCGAGCCCTGCCTTGGGCTGCCGCCCACAGCGCCAGCGGCGCTGCCCCCCGACGCCCCCTGCGCTGCTCGCCTCCGCCCGGTGGGCGCACCGAGCGTGGCGGCGTCGAAGCCATGCGCAGCCTCTCTGCCGTCCTCTTTGGGGGGGGCGCCCGGGCCCGCCGCCCGCCAATGGGGTGGCCTCCACGCGCGGGTCACGGCCACACGCCCTCGCGCAGGGACCGTCGGGACGAAGTCGGGAGCTAAAGACGGACGCACACGTGTCGGGTATGGCCAGGACCCCAGGTGTGGGGACCCAGGCAGGGGTAGGGCCCTGGAGCCCCTAAATTGGCCAGAATCACTAAACCAGGGCTGCCGTAACTGGTGTTTTTTCGGATGACGGCAGTTCCGGTTAGTGGAATGGGGCTGGAGGGCGTCCCCCAGTATACATTACTAAACCAGGTCCCACTAAACCCAGTTCTGCCAACGCCCGAACGTACACGAGTCCACGCTGGTTTCGAGCAAAGGCATTGCGCGAACGTTCGTATCACGCGGCCGGTCTGGCGGATTGGGGGAACGTGCTCATGTACGTGGGTGGGCGCGTACGTCCTTCGTGGGCTGCCTACGGATGGACGGCGTCGGAGCAGCCTACGGTCGGACTGAGGTAGAAGGTATAAGATCCAGGTCGGTTCGGGGTTCGGATTCCCCGATCCCTATCTACTTCAGGCGCCTTCCTACGTCAAGAGTCGAGCGTTTTTTCCTCCACCCTAATCTTCAGTGGGTGGGCGGAAGCGCAATCTACTTCAACGCCTTCCTACTTCATGTTTCTACCTACTTCTTCCGACCGGCGGGTGATGTTCTTCGTGCTTGTTGGACGTTTTGGTGCATCCTGGGGGAGGTGCCCTCGAGTGCTCTTCAGTTTTTGGCCGGCGGAGGTTCTCATGCTCTTGAAGGATGTTCTTCTGTCTTGGGTCCGGTCGTATGCGCATGGGCGATGAGGAAGGGACGGAGGAGCACGAGGGATCAGTGGCTTTCGACGACAGCGCGACACGTGGCTGCAGCTCCGTGTTTGAAGTCCCAGCGGCTTTCTGAAGGAGTGCCAGACTGGCTGCCGGCCAACTTCCTCCTCCTCCTCCTCCTCCTCCTCCTCCTCCTCCTCCTCCTCCTCCTCCTCCTCCCCCCTTCTCTTTCCTGCGATCACGCCTGCAAGAGCTCCCCCTGGTGGGACCCACTGTCATAAAGGGTTGGCAGGCGCACTCACGGGGCAAAGAGTTGAGGTTTGGTTTTGTCCAGGGCTTTGCCTGTCTTCTCGTCGGTGGCGCGACCTGCAGGCTTGCGGCCACGGACGAGGAGAAGGAGCAAGCAGAGGACGACGACAAGGAGAAGGAGGAGCATGATGATGAGGAGGAGACGGAGGAGGAGGAGGAGGAGGAGGAGGAGGAGGAGGAGGAGGAGGAGGAGGAGGAGGAGGAGGAGGAGGAGGAGGAGACACCGCGCGCCCGCGCGCGCGTCCTCGCGCGCGGGGCCTCAGGCGATGGCTCACCCCTGCTGGATCAGCTTCCCGTAGGCCCAATCTGAGAGTGTTGCTCCAGGATGCTGAGGACTTGATTGATGGTAGATGCCGCAGACGTCTCACCTGCGCTCTGACGTCGAAGCAGACCTTGAGGCGATCGGACACCTGCAAGCCGAATTGGAGGCCGTTGGAACATCAGCTTCCTCCAGTCTGGCCGGAATTGACCAGATGTTAGCCGAGGCTGTGCAGTTAGAGATCCGGAGACAGATGGAACACCTAAAACGCCGACTGGCAGAATGACTTGAAGCACTCACAAGTCGGCTGGAGGACCTTAGGGGAAGAGCCATTACCTTGACTACCAGTATATATGATATATGGATAGTCGGCTGTGCGCGCACTGTGTCTTCTTCTGCCTTTCTAGGGGTATGTTTTCTGGAGGTGGCGATAACCTCACGGCTCCCATAATCCACTCAGAATTTGCACTCATGAGATGGAAAGCTCCAAAGCTGGCGGCAACGCGAACAAGCTGATTCATATATATATATATATATATATATTGCATGGTATACGTTGGCGTTGAGGTGGAGACACTGTTTATGCGTTACAAGAGGTTCCAGCGTGGAGTTTGTGTTCATATTATGGGCTTTCGGTGAGAACGGCAGCGACAAGCGACGTTACGATTGTCATGCTGGCGAACTGGAGTGACAATATTATTCGGGAGCGGTTTGATATGTATTTTGCCGTTGATGTTATTGTGGATCCCTTTTGTATTTTTGCATCAGGCCATGTGCTGGACTAAGAGAAAACGAGCATGGCGCAGTCGGAGACGTTGCACAGTGCTCAGGCTGCCAGTGCAGTAGCCTGGGAGAAGGTCAAACAGAGGGGGCGATCTCCTCTGACCTTCTTGGGAGTGGATGCTAGCACGTCGCTGCCAGCACGCGTGCCAGGCACTACTGGCCAGGTGGTTGCTGCGCCACTGAAGTCGCGCACGCCAGGTATGCAAAACACCCCCCCCTGGTGTCTGACAAATCTAGGTTCACGACACATTTTTGGGAGGTTTGTGCCTCTTGCCATGCGGTTCCTGTGCGCAGAGGTTCGCAACAAGCATGGCCATTCCAACGGCGAGCACGTCGCACATGCGCAGAGCGGCCGCTCAGATAATGCAGGGTTGGGACTTCTCTGTTTTGCCAGACCGGGCGGGATTCAAGCATGAAGCAGTAGTCACAGGCGATTATGCATGTGGGGATGTGTCTTCTTGCGTGCGCGTTGTTGCCACCGCCCTTGAGGATAATGCGAGTTGCGCGTTTGATGCAATCTTTAGGGCCAGTTTTCAAACCACTGGGAGGGCTACCAGGGATCGCAAGAGGGCCCAACATGAGAGTGCGGTCGGGGATACTGGAAAGGGCGCGCAGACGAGGGGAACGCTTCGAGCTGTTGCCTCGGAGCATGGGCGTTCATGCCGCCCCCCCGATCTCGCTGCAGCTAGCTGGCGCCGAGACCTCTGGCCGCAGTGATCGGGCGGACACCTTCGGTGAACTGGCGAAAAATAAGTGATCTTCAGGTGCGAAACGCCAGGCAGCCTTCAGGCAACGAATTTGGGGACTTCGTTGGGCAGCCATGTCTAAGCAACTTGATGGTATCTGCAGTCATGCGCCATCATTCGGTGACTTCCTGGACGAGCTTGGGGGGTTGCGCGATGGAGCGGCCGTCGGGGCAAATTTGCTACTAGGCACTGTGGAAGCATTCGCCGCGCAGGTCAAGGTCAGACTGTGCGAGCTGCTTTTGAAACGCGTCAAGGACAGAAGACGTTGGGAGAAAGCATCTTGGAGTCGTGGAGTGAGTTCGAGCTTCTGGGTATTCTAAAACAGCGAGACCAGACAACCTTCAATAATTGAAGGTGGCTTTGGTTTTCTCACGCATCTTAGCACATTGTTCGATCCGACTGTTTACGCTGCAACCTCGCGGGCGATCCGTGCGCCCCGGCGTTCCTGCGTCTACGGCTGCAAGAGAGGCTCGTCTGCGGACGACTGCTTTGGGATTTTGTATGAGTGCTTGTGCGAATTCAGCTCGATGGGAGGACGCTGCAGTTATTCTTGGCGCTCAGGACACCCGCGCCGCATTCGGCGCGGTTGGGCACGTCGGCGGGGCCAGGTGTTAGCACCCGCGCGCGGTTGCGACAACTTGAGTGTGAACCTCGCGGTGCCGGGGGTCGCTTCGGTGAAGCAGGTTCCGATGGAACCAAAACAATGCGCGCTGGAGGGGAATGCGAGCCGCGCGTGTTTGGTCTTATGCTGGGTTCAGCACTGGAGGACCTGGCTGTCGAATGGGATTTGACGGGGCTTGGTTTCCAGTTGAAGCCAAGTGGGGAACGAATCGCCAATGCCAATTTTGGTAGATATTGTATCCATCTTGGCGGCTGATAGTGAGCAGTGGCGTTTAATGGTTACGAGTGTTACGACGCTGCTGCATCGCAAGTATGCTTGGGAATTGTAGCGCAATTCTTTAGAAGTCAATGACGTGCCAGGCGTTGCTTTCGACGGCGCGCCGCAGAATTCGGTCTGCAAGCGAGTCGACGCCAATGAAGGCGCTAGGCGGCGTGTTGTGTTCGACCGACCCAGTGAACGGTTTAATTTCGCATCGGCTGCTGAACGGCGACGGCTTCTGGTTCAAATATATGAAGGCGTTTCGTGGGAAGGCATCAGTTGGCTTGAAGTTAGAAGCTTTCGCGTCAATGCCTCGCGCGAGCGGTTTGTACTTGGCGCCCATCGTTCACTGGGCGAACGCGCCGCTATGGGGCGCCATCCGGCGTGGGCGATCTGGTTTGAGACGCGTGTTCCGGTTGCGCCCGAAACCAGATGGGGGGCGAAGTGCTGAGTTGCATTGCGCTGCCAGGGGCATCGAATATGTGATGCATCGCAAGAAACCAATGCATGTTGTCATCGTTGAAAGAGAGTGCGCATTCACGTGGCGGGAACGGACGACTGCGACAATCCTCGGCCGTGTCCGCGCGGACCGAGATAGACGGTGGTGGGAATCAGTCAAAGACGTGCCAGTTGAGTGGCGAAGGCGCATGGGTGTTTCGGCGCATTCGCACCGCGGCAGGCAGAGGGGCCAAGACGCGGTGTTCTATGCAGCATGGGGCCCAGAATGGCGCGACCGATTCCGCGGCTTTAATCGAACGAGTACCTGGCTACAACAAACTGTTTTTGTTAATGGCGCCTGTGGTGGTTTGGGTCTGCCCGTGGTGTCGCGACAGGGGCCCAGCCAGGGCCCGCGACGAAGCTTTCGTCGCAAAGCCGGCCAAATCCCAGAAGATCTTGCCTGCTCCCTTACGGCGCGACGAGCTGTGTGTTTTGACATCAGACCATTTGCAAGCGGAGTTCGTCGCAGACAACCTGACATTGGCAGAGATCGGGGACGGTGCGTCTCGTATTGCAAACAACAGGTTTTGTCAACCAATCGATTGTTTACGACTGCGGCTAAACTCACTGACGCTTCATCGTTTAATTGCGGGCCCACTGCTTAGATCCAATCGATTGGAGGCCCCGGCAGTTCAATCAAGCTGCCGATCGCATTGTGAACTGCGCGCTCGCTGGAAAAGCCGACGTGAACACCCTGAGTCGCGCCGACGTGACAGAGCATTTGGCAAACGCATTGGCCTTGCAATTGTTTAATCGCTTCGCTCATTCCGCCGGCCCATATTGCCTCGCCGCTGTCGTGTCGGGGTGTTGTCGTCAATGCGGTGCGGTTGGGCGGCCGCCATTTTTCGGAGGCGGTGGGTGGCGGGTCAGAGGCCTCACCGATGTTGGTTGGGCTCTCGTGGTTGGCCTCTCAGGGGCCTTTGGGAGGCATTGTTGAGGCGTCTTCGGGGCCGTGTTGGGGCCGTGTTGGGGCCTCTTGGGGGCCTCGTTGGGCTTCTTGGGGTGCTTCTTGTGGGCCCCTTTGGGCCTCTCGGGGGCCTCTTGGGGCCTCCTGGGGGTCTCCTGGGGCTGAAGGCTGGACTTTCTGGTTCCTGGTCCCCTTTTTGGGCCTCTTTTGGAGCCGTTTTGGGGCTCTCTTGGGCCGTCTTGGGCGCCTCTTAGGTTGTCCTGGAACCATTTTGGGCCGTCTTGGTGCCCTCTTGGATGGAGGCTTCGTGGGCCGTCTTGGGGCGGTCTTGGGAGCCTCTTGGGGCGTCTTGGAGCGCCGGCAGGCCGAAAACGAGACAACGCCAAAAACTGGGGAATCCTAAATTTCTGCCTCTGTGGGCCCTCTTGGGAGGTCTCTTGGAGGCCTCTTGGCTCGTCTTGAAGCGTTTTGGGCTGTCTGGAGGCCATCTTGGGCATCGTCGGCCGATCTGTCGAGGACTCCAAGGGTTCTTGGACCGTTTGGGCGCCTTTTTGGGGCCGTCTTGGGCGCCTGTTTGGCCGTCTGGGGGGCCTCCGGCATGTCTGGCAGGCACTTGCTGGGGACTTGCCGGGACCTTGGCGGGGTACTTGTTGCGTCGGGTCCCCCAGGGGCCGCCTCGCGCGCGCGAGCTTGTCATACTGTTAGCTTGCTGCCAACATCCTCGGAACCCGGGGTGTTTGGTACTCCGGAGCATATTGCGCTTGTCGCATGGAAGGAGAAACGCTTGGTATGGCTACGAGATGCGTCGCCGAACTGGCCGACAAGGTGTTTCGGCCGCCGAAGCGTGCTCGTATTCTGTGATATCATAGTCTTCAGCAGCACGAGAAGTGGCGCTTTGCACAAACGAAAAGAGTGGGAGACATGGGGAGAGGGCACGGGGTGACGAAGAAAGGAGGCGGGGGAAGGAAGGAGGAGGGAAGGATGAGGACAATCGGGGGGAGGACGGGGAAATGCGAGGATGAGGAAGGGCGGGAGGGATGAGGAGGATGAGGAGGAATATGATGATGGTGATGATGATGAGGAGGAGGAGAAGGAAGAATAGGAATTAGAGGAATATATATATACACATATATATATACATATATAGATTCTCATTACTATGAATAATAAGAGTAAGGGCGCATAATTGTCATCATTATGGTACCAAGAAGAAAACCAGTAATACTAATGATATTAATAATGCGAATACAGTTAAAAGGAATACTACGAATCCGGATCATGATAATAATAGTAACCATAAAACTAAGAAGACTAATACTACTATGAGGAAGACTGATACGAAGACGAGTAATAACAATCATACGGCTAACAATAATAATTTTATTCGGAGAAAGAAAATAGTAAAACTAAGAAGAATACTAATAAGAGGAGGAGGGTGATGGAGGAACATGAGGTTCGAGGGCACGAGGAGGACGACGACGAACGAGGACGACGACGAATAAGGAGAGGAGGGGGAAGAAGATCAGGAAGAGGAGGAAGAGGAAGAGGAGGAGGAGGAAGAGACAGATAATGAGAAGGAGGACGAGAGGGAGAAGGAGGAGGTGGAGGAGGAGGAGGTGGAGGTGGAGGAGGAATAGGAAGAAGAGGATGAGGACGAAGAGGGGTGTACACGTCATGCTCTCCTCCTTGCTCTCCGCCGTCCCGTCGGCGTCTTCCGCGGCTTATTTGCCTCGTGCTTGTCTTGGACCTCCCTTCGTCCCTCCCTTGCGTACCTTCTTTCCTCCAGGCGATCTCCCCAAATCCTTCCTGTTCGTTCTTCTCTCGTTCTCTCCTCCCCTCCCCTCCCCTCCTCCAACTCTGTTCCTTCCGCATCATGGCGTCAACGTCGAGGCCTCCAGCGCTCTCGCTGATGTCCGTGTCACATGCCGTCCACCCTTGCTCTGAGCCCGGTCGGTCCCTGACTGGTGTTAAGCGTCCGCTTTGTCCTTCTTGTAGTCTACCTCGTCGTCGTCGTCTTCGTCGTCGTGGTCCTCTTCCTGCTCCTCGTCTCCCTCCCTGCTTACCGTCCTCCGTTTTGCGGATCGAGATGTTGGAAGCAATTGGCCATTGTTGCGCCAGAGGACTCCAGAGCGGTCGCCGCCGCCGCCGCCGCCGTCGCCGCCGCCGTCGTTGTCGTCGTCGTCGTCGTCGTCGTCCTCGTCCTCGACGGTCCTCCTTCTACCCCATCCTTTTCAATACTCCTCATCCCCGCTCCCTCCCCATTCTCCCCCTTGGCCCCCTCCTACCTCGTGTTGTTCCTGATGCGGATCCGTATTGGTAGCGACGTTGAGGCGAGGCATACTCGAACCTATCGTAACGCTTTTGTTTATGATCGCTCCGTATCCTCCTGCTTCTGCTACATACAGAAGCTCCTCCTCCTCCTTCTCCTCCGTCGCCCTTGCTCCTCCTCCTCCTCCTCCTCCTCCTCCTCCCCCTCCTCCTGCTTTTCCTCCTCTCCTATCCTCTTCTCCTCGTGGTGTTCTCCCTCTCCTCCCTGCTCCTCCTCGTCTCACTCTTCCTTCTCCCCCTTCCCTTCCCCCCTCCTCCCTCCTCCCTCCTCTCCCTCCCACTCCGCCTTCCTCACCTTCGCCTCTGCCGCCTCCGCACCCCGCCGCCTCCAGCGCCCAAGGGCGTCCCGCGGGCGCGCGCTCTCCCGCGCGCTCGCGCGCCGATGTCCGCCGAGCCGGCGGCGGCCGGCGCGGTGCCGCCGCCCCCGAAGCCGCGCAAGCTGCCATCTCGGGGGACGCCAGCTGGCCGCGTCGCGCCGGGCCTGGCCGGGTCCCCCCCGCCGTACCCAGACCCCCTCGCACTGTGCAGGAATCGCGATGGGAGGTTTTTCTTTTTTTCCGGCCTCCAGGGGCCCTCGCCGGGCCTCGGGACCATCAGAAAACGACTCAGGATGAAAAACCAGTCCCGGGGCAAGGGTCCAGAACTTTGGGGGTCGACGTCCCTCAGATCCATTCCCCAAGACCGGTTTTTCATCCTGCGCCGTTTTTGGACGGTCCCGAGGCCCGGCGAGGGCCCCTGGGGGCCGACATCTGAGAAAAACCTCCGCCCTGAGTTTCTCCATGCGCTGGACCTGTGGCCTATGGGGCCCAGGCTTTTTGGGCCTGGCCAGGGCCGGCGAGGTGGCCGGCTGGCCCTCCCCGCCCCGTCGGGGCTGCCGCCGCCGCCGCCGCCGGCCGGCGCGCTGCCGCCGCCGCGCCCCCCCGCCGCGGGGCCGCTCGCGGCTGGCGGCGCCCCGCCGGCGCCAGCGCAGGCGCTGCAGGCGCACGCAGAGGCCCGCGGCGGGCTGCTGGCGGCGGCGGCGACGAGGGAGGAGGGCGAGGTCGTCGCCCTGGCCCTCGACTGTCGTCCTCGCCCTCGTCGTCCTCCTCGCCCTCGTCCTCCTGGAGCGCGAGGGGGGGGGGGACGGGCGAGGAGGGCGAGGGCCGAGGGTGGGGGCCGGCGGCGACGACGACCAACAGGGCGCGCGTCACTAGCCAACACACATTTTTTTTGTTTTTTTGTTTTCTCTCTCTCTCTCTCGTTCTGTGTGTGTGTGTGTGTGTGTGCGTTTGTTCCCGCAACTCCTTGCGTGCTTAGTTACATCTGTCATCGTTTTCGAGATTTGCAGATGCTGTTTTGTGCGGCAGCCCAGGTGCACTTCGCCGTCCATGGTAAGGAAGAGCAGTAGGGAGGAGAACCAGGGCATGGGGAGAGGAACGATGTCAAAGGGGAGGCTGGCTTCGCTGTTCCGCAGGCGGGCGCCGCTGATCCGCGTCAGCCGACCCCGCAGAGGCTGCCGCCGCAGGACGGGGTACAGCGGACCCCGTTAAGGCGCCCCGTTCTTGCTGCTCCTGCTCCTCCTCTTGCTCCCCTGAGAAGAGAGGAGGAGGAGGAGGAGGAGGAGGAGGAGGAGGAGGAGGAGGAGGAGGAGGAGGAGGAGGAGAGGAGGAGGAGGAGGGAGGAGGAGGAGGAGAGAGGAGGAGGAGGGGAGGAGGAGGAGGAGGAGGAGGAGGAGGAGGAGGAGGAGGAGGAGGAGGAGGAGGAGGAGGAGGAGGAGGAGGAGGAGGAGGAGGAGGCGGAGGAGGAGGAGGAGGAGGAGGAGGAGGAGGAGGAGGAGGGAGGAGGAGAGAGGAGGAGGAGGAGGAGGAGGAGGAGGAGGGAGGAGGAGGAGGAGGAGGAGGAGGAGGAGGAGGAGGAGGAGGAGGAGGAGGAGGAGGAGGAGGAGGAGGAGGAGGAGGAGGGAGGAGGAGGAGGGAGGAGGAGGAGGAGGAGGAGGAGGAGGAGGAGGAGGAGGAGGAGGAGGAGAGGAGGAGGAGGAGGAGGAGGAGGAGGAGGAGGAGGAGGAGGAGGAGGAGGAGGAGGAGGAGGAGAGGAGGGGAGGAGAGAGGAGGAGGAAGAAGGAGTCCATCTCGAGGAGGAAGAATAGAGGGTGATGCGGGAACAGCTGGAGGGAAGTCAATCAACGAAGTTTGAAACGTACGCCATGGTGGCCATGGCGGCGGCCATGGCCACCTAGGCGGCGCCTCCTGTGCCAGGAACCGGGGGTGCAGCACCGACCCAAGATATCTTAGTGGACCTCGGATTTCGAATAAACCTCGCGGAGGGGTATTAGGGAGTAGGGAGGAGGGAGGATGAGGATCAGGAGAGGCTAAGAGGAGGAGTGAGGCCTCTAGAGGTCAAGAAGCCGAATACCATGCAGTGCGCCAGCGAGTAGACCAAAGCCACCATCAATCGTCGGTGGCCCTCAAGCCCCAGCGAGAGTCCCAAGGCACATACGATGGCCAGGAAGCACCGCGCCATCACGCCGAAGCCCGTGATCATGACGCCGATCGACCGGACGCAGGCACAAGAGACTTCGTTCCCCCATGAACACGACCGTGCCGATGTCCCACCGCCTCGCAACGATGTGCAATGGTCTTGCTCCCCCGACGAGGAGGAGGAGGAGGAGGAGGAGGAGGAGGAGGGCGATCAGGAGGAGGAGGAGGAGGAGGAGGAGGAGGAGGAGGGCGATCAGGTGGAGGAGGAGGAGGAGGAGGAGGAGGAGGAGGAGGAGGAGGAGGAGGAAGGAGTCCATCTCAAGGAGGAAGAATAGAGGGTGGTGCGGGAACAGCTGGAGGGACGTCAATCAAAGAAGTTTGAAACGTACGCCATGGTGGCCATGGCTGCGGCCATGGCCACCTAGGCGGCGCCTCCTGCGCCAGGAACGGGGGGATGCAGCACCGACCCAAGATATCTTAGTGGACCTCGGATTTCGAATTAACCTCGCGGAGGGGTATTAGGGAGCAGGGAGGAGGGAGGATGAGGATCAGGAGAGGCTAAGAGGAGGAGTGAGGCCTCTAGAGGTCAAGAAGCCGAATGCCATGCAGTGCACCAGCGTGCAGACCAATGCCACCATTAATCGTCGGTGGCCCCCAGCCCCAGCGAGAGCCCCAAGGCACATACGATGGCCAGGAAGCACCGCGCCATCACGCCGAAGCCCGTGATCATGATGCCGATCGACCGGACGCAGGCACAAGAGACTTCGTTCCCCCATGAACACGACCGTGTCGATGTCCCACCGCCTCGCAACGATGTGCAATGGTCTTGCTCCCCCGACGAGGAGGAGGAGTGAGTGAGTGAGAACAGTCGCGAAGCGAAGATTCGACAACACACGCCTCCCCCTGAGCTTGTCGAAGTAGGCGACGAACAGGAAGGAGACGCGCTTCAACCCGTACACGGCCGGTTGAAATGAGCAAAGCAAAAAGAATTTTGCCTTGGAACCACCACGCCCCTTATGCCACCACCGCGATGCCGACAAACACGAAGATCAATAAAGATGCACCAGTTCCTCAAATTCCCCTTCACCATTATTGCACAGCGCTCCAACGAAGTAAACATGCTCAGGTCCCTCGGAGTATTCTTCACCATTGTGCACACAACTCCAGGCACCCCCATATACGTCTGCCTTGCGCGGGCCAGGCTCAGCCAAAACAGAAACTGAAACTGTAACAAAACAGAAAACGTCTGCCTTGCGCTGGCCAGGCTCAGCCAAAACACCTGAGGGATGCCGAACGAGGAGTAGACGAACTTCGTGACACACACCGTGATGGGAAAGCGGAAAAGAGAGAAGAAGGCACCATGACAGGTACACATACAAAATACAAAATACGAAGGCACCATGACCGCGAACCGGGGAAAATACATCCCACGGACATCCACGAACGCCATAAAATGCAGCAGGAGGATTGAGCCTGACTCTGACACAACATTCGCCCCGCCCTTAGCCGATCCGCGCCGCAAGAAAATCTCCAGAGGTGCGAATAGCAACAAGCACGCCGCGCTGAGGCGGCGGGGCAGGGCCCATGACGCGTTTGAGCCTAAAGATGGATCTACGCGCCTTGGGCCCCTTGTGCTTGACGAGGAGGAGGAGGAGGAGGAGGAGGAGGGCGATCAGGTGGAGGGGGAGGAGGAGGAGAAGGAGGAGGAGGAGGAGGAGGAGGAGGAGGAGGAAGGAGTCCATCTCGAGGAGGAATAATAGAGGGTGGTGCGGGATGATGCTGCTGCTGCTGATGCTGCTGGTGGGGTCGGTGGGATGATGCTGCTGCTGCTGATGCTGATGCTGATGATGGGGGTGCTGCTAGGAGAATGATGGGGGGGATCGGTGGGATGATGCTGCTGCTGCTGATGCTGATGATGCTGCTGCTGATGATGGTGGTGATGGTGATTGTGGTGGTGATGCTGATGCTGATGCTGATGCTGATGCTGATGATGAGGATGATGATGAGGATGATGATGAGGATGATGAGGATGAAGATGAGGATGATGAGGATGAGGATGAGGATGAGGATGATGAGGATGAGGATGATGATGTTGATGATGATGATGATGCTAATGATGATGTTGATGATGATGATGCTGATGATGATGCTGATGATGATGCTGCTGCTGATGATGATGATGATGACGATAATGATGATGATGAGGGTGAGGAGGAGGGTGAGGAGGAGGAGGGGAGCAGGAGCAGGAGGAGGAGGAGGTGGAGGAGGAGGAGGACGACGACGACGACGGCGACGGCGGCGGCGAAGGAGAGGACCAGCAGGAGGAGGAGGAGGAGGAGGAGGAGGAGGAGGAGGAAGCTGGAGAGATGAAGAGGTCCGCCGTGGACGGGGACGACGAGTTTGAGTATACAATAGGACGGGGAGGGACCAGGAGAAGGAGCGAGCATGAGGGCTGATCATTAACAGGGGGAGGAGGAGGAGGAGGAGGAGGAGGAGGACGAGGAGGATGAGGAGGAGGAGGAGGAGGAGGAGGAGGAGGACAAGGAGGAGGAGGAGGACGAGGAGGAGGAGGAGGAGGAGGAGGAGGAGGAGGAGGAAGAGGCATGGGACATGCATTGAAGGCGAAGAAACGGCGAGGGGGGAGGGTGGAGGGTGGAGGGCGACGACGACGAAGACGACGAAGGGCGGCGGTCGGCGACGACGATGGCGATGAAGACGACGACGGGCGGCGGCGATGGCTCCCACCGCGGGCCCTGGAGGCCCCCCACCGAGCACCGGCCAGCGCCGCAGCAGCCGCCCGAGCCGCTGTCGCAGGCTGGCGCCGAGCCGCATGGTACGTGGGAGCCGTGCGGGGCGCTGCGTCGCCGCCGTCGCCCTCTATTTTTCCCCCTTCCCCCGTTCCGACACAGTCAGTCGGCTTGGGGGTTAAGGAGCAAAGGGGGGGGGAGAGGGGAGGAGGTGGAGGAGTGGATGGGGAGGAGAGGAGGATCGGGGGGAGAGGAGGGGAGGAGGGGAGGAGGGGGAAGGAGGATGGAAAGAGGAGGGGGCCCGGGACGCCTCGTCGTGTCGACGTCGTCCGTCGCTTCCCCCTCCTCATTTCTTCACTCTCGCCTGTCCTTGTCCTCCTCCCCTTCATGTTGTCCTTGGTTCAAGAGAGTTGGCGAGCCGGGTTCCTCCTGTGAGGCTTCTGTATCGTAGCCCGCCTCCCTCCCTCATCCTTGCCTGTCCTGTCTGGTTTTTCAGTCAGTCAGTCTGTCTGGCTGGCTGGCAAGCTGTTGCTGGCTGGCTGGCTGGCTCTCTGTCTGTCTGTCTGTCTGCCCGTCTGTCCGTCCATCCGTCCGTCCGTTCGTCCGTCCGTCCGTCTGTCTGTCTGTCTGTCTGTCTGTCTGTCTGTCTGTCTGTCTGTCTCTCTCCCTCTCGCTCGCTTTCGCACTCTCTCTCGCACTCTCCTTTTCTCCAAACTTGCGTGTCAGTTACTATAGCTCCTGCGTCCTGTTAAGCCCAGCTGCCTGAGGCACTCCCGCTACTCTGGTGGGTGTCGAGGAAGCCGTAAGCCGTACTGTGTGACACCTCGTGTTTAAATGCTTGCAAGCGCCGTGACATGTGGCACGCTCTTCCGCGTCGTGTCGGGGTGCCTCTCGTTATGATTCTCGCCGTGCTTCTCCCTTTTGCTTTCTCCCTCCGCCCTTGGGGCCTCTTGGAGGCGTCTTGGGGGTCCTCTTGGAGGGTTCTTGGGCTCTCGGGGGCTCCTCGGGCCGTCTTAGGGCGCTCTTGGGCAGTCTGGCGCCTTCGTAGTCCGTCTTTGGGGCCTCTCTGGGCCGTCTTCCGGCCCTCTTGGGGCCCTAAAGGGTCGCCTTGCGCTTCTACTGGCCGTCGTTGGGCCTCCTTGTGCCGTCTTAGCTCCGTCGTGGAGGTCTCTTGGATCATCTTGGGGCCCTCTTTGGGGCATGTTGGAGGTCTCTTGGGCCGTCCTGGGCTAGCGGACGCCCAAAGAGGTGATAACTCGAAGCTCATTCAAACGCCACGACGGCGTCATCCTCTCCCAGGCCATACCAGGGTCCTATTGGATCTCCCCTGGGCCGTCTAGGGGGCCTTGTATCTGGACGCCCGAGATGGGCACGGAAAGAATGGGTACGATGCCCAACAGCAGTTCCTGTTCATTCTGAACAGGATTCGCTGTCCACGCCGCCGCGGCCTGTGCCCATTCGAGACAGAAGGCCGCCTGCCCAACAGCGGCCGCTGTTGGTTTGGGACAACATTTGTTGTTGGGCATTGTACCCATTCTTTCGGTACCCATTTCGAGTGTCCAAATGGTAGGAGGTCGTCTTGAGGCCATCTCGGGCTGTCTTTTGGCGATCCCGGGCTTTCGTGGAGGCATCGTAGGCCGTCTTGCTATCGTGGCGGCCTGGGTGGCCTGCCTCTGGCCTTCGGGGAAGTTGTCCTGGGCATCTCGGACGCCTTGGCGATCGCCAGGGACGCGTCGGAGCGCCCAGGGAGCCCTGGGATCGACTACACGTAAGAGTGACCTGGTGCGGGCCCAATGGGGTACCCCGATCGCCGAACGCGATGTGGTAGTAGCGTCTTGCGCGCTTGTGTTTGGCACCCCCGCGGCCCCCAAAAAGCCGCGCACCAAAGGTCACTCTTACCCAGGGTCGCTCTTGCGTGCAGCCGATGGGAGGAGCGGGGGTGGCACACGCGGTTCAGGAGCTGACACACCGGGTAGGGGTTCACCAGGCAGCTCTTGAGCCTACGCAGCAAGCGGGGTCGTCTTCGCGGCATTCGCGCGTAAGCTGCCCGCGGAAGGTCGCGCGTAAGCGCCCTCGTCTCCAATGTGGGGGGCCGCGCTGGCGTCCCGCGTAAGCTGCGGCGTAAGGTCGCCGTGCCATCTCGCGTAAGGCCTGTTTTTGATCGTCTTTCTTTTGGCACTCTTCCACGCTTCAACCTGCCGGGGGGCACGAGGGCGGGTTTGCACATGCTGGCTCGTTGAATACATATGCGTACGTCCCGATATTCATCACATCATCGGTTTTCAGCGGGAAGGAGGGCGATGGAGAAGCGGAGGAGGGAGGAGCAGGATAGAGGAAAGGGATGATGTGGAAACAGCGGGCGGGAAAGAAGAGGATGGTGATCGTTTTTTATTCAATGTTTTGCCGCTCTGCGCGGGCCCTCGCACCCCGCCTCCTCCCCCCTATGGGGTAGATCTTGACCTGTTTTCGGCGCCTGTTTCGATCAGGTGTAGTCTCCCCCATCGGACGCACTGCTGCAAACATTCGCACTATGCAGAGGTCCAGAGCCAGACCCCCCCCCTCCCCTCCTTCCGCCCACTGTCGAAACGCCGAATCAGAAAACGCTCACATGATAATGATGAGGAGGGCGACGGCGACGTCGCCGACAAAGCCGACGCTGCCGACGCCGACGACGACGATGCTGACGCCGACGACGGCGAGGACGGCGGCGGCGAGGTCAGCGAGGGCGGCGCGACATCAACGGCTCCCCGAGGAGTGCGCCGGTGTTCCGCAGCAGCGGACCCCGCTGAGGCTGCCGCCGCAAGACGGAGTGCAGCGGACCCCGCTGAGGCTCCTTCTCTTGCTGCTGCTCCAGGGTGGCTCGGCTCGCGCTTGCAGCGCGGCCAACCCTCCCCTCGCGGAAACATGGAGGAGGGGAGGGAGTACGTGTAGTAGGAGGGGAGGGGGCCAGGGGAAGGGTGATCGAGGATGGGGAGGAGGAACGGGTGCAGTAGGAGGATGAGCATGAAGGGAGGGGGAGGATTTGGGAGAATGAAGCAGGGTGTGTAACTAGTTTTCGCGCGTGTGGTGCTACAATCAAGGCGCACGCAGGAGCATCCATAACATACGCGCGATATAGGCCCGTCACCGTGCACATATCATCATAATACGTAGCACCGCGCAGCTGCGGAAAAGAGTGAGGTGGAGGCGGGGACGCGGCAGTCTGCGAGGCTCTGAAGAAGTCCGCAACAGGCGCCTAATATCTACAAGTTATAGCTCGTGGCCTTCGGGCCCATCCCGCCACCGTGCATGTGTTGTGGCTTAGATGCATTTGGGATGTTCGTTGGGAGATCGTGGGAGGCCTCTCGGGGGTCTCTTCGAACCAGAGGCCTCCTGAGGGCCGTTTGGGAGCTCCTTAGGGTATCTTTTTGGGCCTCTTGGGGGCCTCCTAGGGGCGTCCTAGGGGCCTCTTGGGTGTCTCTTGGGGCCTCTTGGAGGCTTCTTGGGGCCTCCTGGGGGCTTCTTGGGCCCGAAGGCTCGACTTGTCGGTTCTTGTGCCCCCTCTTGGGCCCCTCTTGGGGCTCTATTGGGCCGTCTTGGGCGCCTCGTGGGCTGTTTTAGGGCCCTCCTGTCGGGACCAGAAATATTTTTCATTCATTGTTTTTTGGGGTTTTCGATCGCAGACGCTTAATTGAATGATTACACGGCGCGCTCTTCGTTTTGCTGCCTGCTGCCTCCTGGGAACGCGTAAACCAAGCGAGCGCGGCCATCGCAAGATGCTGCTGGGCTCCGCGAGAACGACGCGCGCGCTGTAGATGCATTTTCATTTACTGATGGAAAGCGACGCGATGCGCGATGCATCGGCCCTTCGGTTGGCTTGAGCGGCCCCCGAACAGACATTGGGGCCGCATGTGCCCATATAGCCGCGGCTTCATCCCGTTCAATCAGCGCGCATTTCAAGGCTGCCCGGCAATGTCGACGGGAATCTTCATGACCAAGCGAATCTGTGCACCGTTAATCTCCGCAGGCCTCAGGCGCGGGAGTGCGCGCGCCGCGCCGCAGATCGGTGCGCGCGCTCAAGCGACGGCGCGGCCCTGCGTCGATCGGCCCGCCGCCTCAGGGCGCGCGCGGCGTCCGCCCCTGGAACCCCCGCCAGGCCGGAAATGACAGATTTTGTTGTTTTGGGCGGGCCAAAACCGCGAAATCTTTCATTTCACCGGTCGCGGGTCTGGGTTGCGTCCTTGTCCGGGGCGGATGCGAGTGGTGCCTTGCTTGGTTCTGTGGGGGGCTCGCTCTAGGGCGTATCGGGCCTCTCTTGGGGCCTGTCGCGCTCTTCCTCGGGTTCTCCTACTGGCTCTCCCGAGGCCCCCGTGAAGCTATCGGGCCCACTTGCGTCGATGTGGAAGCTCGTGTGGACGTCTCGGCGACGGATTGGGGATCTGGGTTTCACCAGACGCCCGTGGTCGTTTTTCGGCGCGTTCAGGCCGACGTGGGACCCCCCGCGATCCCCGGCCGCCCAGAGAGCGCCATTGGCGCCTGAAGAGTTTCCTACAGGCGGCGGGACACGGTGTCCAATTGTCGTGCGACGCAGTGCTGGGCGCTCCTTCAAATCGCAAGCTCGGTCAATTCGCACAATTGGCGTCGCGTCGCGAAGATGTCGGCCTCATCGCGATCAGCGATCATGTGGGCATGAGGGCCAGTAGATCAAAATCTACAGGCCGACCAGTGAAAGATAATATTTTCTGGCCCCTATCTTGGGCCGTTTTGCGGCCCTTTTGGGGCCTCTTGGGCCGACTTGGGGTGGTCTTGGGGGCTTCCGGGGCCACCTTAGAGCGTCGAAAGTCCGAAAACGCGAGCACGGGAAACAACATTTTGACCACGGACACACACATAACATAATTGCTTTTTGCATCTGGGGCCCTCTTGAAAGTCCTCTTGCTTGGGCCCTCTTGGCCCTGTTTGGGGCCCTCGGGTGAATAAAGCATGAGCAGCGAGTGCGCGTGCTCTGAGCCAAATTTGCAGAGCGGCGCGCTGCTAATGAGAAGAGGAGCAGTGCACGCGCACACACTCTGAGTCCAATTAGCAGAGCGGCGCTCTGCCAATCAGCGCCCGAGCAGGATGGATAACCCTGCTTTGAGGCCAATTAGCAGAGCAGCGCTATGCGAATGAGGAGAACAGCAGCGAATGCGTATGCTTTGAGGCATAATAGCAGGGCGGTTCTCGGCGAATTGGAGCATGGACAGTCTGGAAATGAATGGTCGAGGCCCCTTATTTGAATCCAGGATTCGGGACAGAGCACATGAGAGCGAGGGGTATCTCCACTTCGCGCCTCGAGGCATGGTGCCGGATACAATGAGCTCGCCACAGGCGCTGATTTCTCGTTGAAGCAATCTGGGTGGGTCGCGGGTTGGTCGCGGGCAGGGTCGCGTCAGTCGCAGGTGGGTCGTGGGTGGGTCGCGGGTCGCGGGCGGGTCGTGGGGTGTGTCGCGGGTGGGTCGCGGGCAGGTCGCGGGTGGGTCGCGGGGTGGGTCGCGGGCGGGTCGTGGGTCGGTCACGGGTGTGTCGCGGGCGGGTTGCGGGTGGGTCGCGGGCGGGTCGCGGGTGGGTCGCGGGGTGGGTCGCAGGCGGGTCGTGGGTCGGTCACGGGTGTGTCGCGGGCGGGTTGCGGGTGGGTTGCGGGCGGGTCGCGGGCCGGGTCGCGGGGCGGAAGGGGAAATCAAACAACGCAACAGCAACAATCTGCTCCGCGGAACCTCGCTTAAACTACGCCCCACCCAGTTGTTGGTATCGTGGCTTCATAGGGAGTTCCACCGAAGGCCTAAGTAGCGGTGTTCGCATGCGTCTCCCCCACCCAACACAACGCGACGTGGCCCCATACGGAGCCCCACCGAAGGCCTCAGTGGCGGTGTCGTTGTGCGTCCCCCCCACCCAGTACTTCGTATCGTGGCCTCATAAGTAATGAGTTTCACCGAAGGCCTCAGTGGCGGTGTCTTTATGCGTCTCCCCCACCCAGTTTCGCGCTCCGTGGCATCGCGGAGCTCGACCGAAGGCCCCAGTGGCGGTGTTCGCATGCGTTTCCCCCACCCAGTAAAACGTATCGTGGAACCCCACCGAAGGCCTCAGTGGCGGTGTTCGCATGCGTCTCCCCCCCACGCAATACAGCATTTCGTGGCCCCAGAGGGAACCCCACCGAAGGCCTCAATGGCGGCGTTTGCATGCGTCTCCTCGGCACAATACAGCGTTTCGTGGCCCCATAGGAAGCTCCACCGAAAGCCCCAGTGGTGGTGTTCGCATGCGTCTCCCTCTGTTAGTACAGCGTTTCGTTGCCCGCCGAACATCCCAGTGACTGAGTTAGCATGCGTCTCCCCCACGCATTGCAGTTTTTCGTGGCCCATTGGGATTCCCACTGCAGACGATACCCACAACTGCGGTATTCACAGCTGCACATGGTACATGGTTGGGTCCTTCGCCAAGCTAATTACCGAACCAACCTGTGGTGTTAGGTCCACGTTTTGAAGAGAGCGCCCTGTGTTCTCCTTCCCCCCCCGCTGCCGCCTCTCCTCACTCCTCCCATCCCACCCTCACACATTTCGTGGCCTCGTGGGGAGCTTCTCCGATTGCCCAAGTGGCAGCGCTCGCATGCGGTTCCGCCTCCATGCCGACGCACCCTTTAAACTTTTCGTGTCCCCAAAGCTCAACTGAAAGCCCTAGCGGCAGCGCCCGCATGCAGTTTCACCTTCCATGTCGGCACAACCTTCACATGTTTCGTGGCTCCATAAGGGGTCTCCACCGAAGGCCTCAGCGGCAGCTCCCTCATGCAGTTCCGCCCTCCATTTCGGCACAGCCCTTCACACGTTTCGTGGCCCCGTATGGACCCCACCGACGGCTCCAGAGGCGGCTGTCCTTCCACTTCGGTACAGCCGCTCACAGGTTTCGTGGCCCCTCGGGGGGCTCCACCGAAGGCCCCAGTAGCAGCGCCCACATGCGGTTCCGACCCCATTTCGGTGCACTCCTCACACGTTTCGTGGCCACACAGGGAGCTCCACACAACGCCCCAAAGGCAGCGCCCGCATGCAGTTCCACCATCCATTCCGGTGCACCCCTCACACGCTCCGTGGCCCCATCGGGAGCCGCACCGAAGGCTCCAGTAGCGGCACCCGCATGCGGTTCCGCCTTGAGTTTCCGTGCACCCCCCACACGCTTCGTGGCCCCATGCTGAGCCCCGCCGAGTGCCTCAGTGGCAGCGCCCGCATGCAGTTCCACCCTCACTTCGGTGCACGCTTCACAGGGAGCTTCACCGAAGGCCCCAGGGGCAGAGCCCGCATGCAGTTCCACCCTCAATTTCGGCACACCCCTCACACGTTTCGTGGCCACATAGGGGGCTCCACCGAAGGCCCGTGTGGCAGCGCCCACATGCGGTTCTACTTCCTTGTCGGTGCACCACCTCTCGCACGTTTCGTGGCCCCATTGGGAGCTCCACCGAAGCCCCCAGTGGTTATTCTTGCTGGTCCCCTCCTTCATCTCATTTGCCTCCCAAGAGAGGGCCCAGAGGGGGACCGCCAAACGATATTTCGAGGTCTCTGGCCCTCGAGGCCGCCTGTAGGCCCCCGGAGGCCACCAAGAGGCTCCCACGAAGCCCCGTGAGGCGCCCAAGAGGCCCCCAGGAAGCCCCAAGAGACCCCCACGGGCCCCAGGGAACGTTCGAGAGGCCCCCCAACACACCCCAAGAAATCATGTCCCTAGAAAACCTTCCAGGGACATGGTTCATCATGGGCCCGAGAGTTCCTGGAGGCTCCCAAGGGGCCCCCAGGGAACGCCCAAGAGACCCCCCAACTCACCCCAACAAACCA